CTGGGTGCTCCCGCCCCCCCCCCCACCCTGCCGGTAACTCCTATGTCGCCTCTACCGCCGTGTTAGTTTTACATGACCAGCATGCCAATCTGTAGCACTTCTTACCGCTGGCTTTGGTGAGTCACAAGATCCTTCGTATGTGTGTGTGTCTACTGCTGCTGCTGCTGCTGCTGCTTTTTTTGGCTGCTGGCGTGCGTCAGGATCTAGACCGGTATCCCCGCCAGCTGGAGCGAGACTTGGAGCTGCTGGGCGGCGAGGGGTTGGTGGACCTCGTCTTTGCCCCCACCCGCGAGGAAATGTACTCGCCGAACCACCGGTGGGAAATATATATTTATAAAAATTTCTTACTGAAAACCAAGAAAAGAGTGGATATAGCATAAAGTCGTTGTGTGATCCTATTATACGTGTAATTTCTCGAGGGAAAACATATCCGTACCATTCTATGTGGGCATATAGTTCTAAGCACGTCTTGTGGGGCCTTTCGTAAAGGGTTTGTAGTCCCGGCCTGTACATGCGATTTTTTTTGTTCGGCCCGACTTCGTTCATTTTAATGTGACGGTGTGCTTGCTTTGTTCACTGCAGGAACAAGGACGGTACGTTTACTATATTGCAGCGGGTAGGACAGCCTCCAACGGGTACTGCAGGCAGCCGACTTTTGTGTGGTTCATCGATCGATGCCCGAGAGAGAACTCCCGCACACGCGCGTACGGCAGCAAGAGCTTGGTTTTCGTTGTTTTTTTCGCGCTTGCGCCGTCAATAAAAACAGCTGTGCTTCATGTATGTGTTTCGTCTTCTTCCTCCTCTGCTTACCTTTTGAGTGCTGGCTATCAGCCTGTCCTTCTCATTGGCTAACTCGGTCTCTCTATCTTATCCTTGTTACCATATTTTCCTGATCTGTTCTGGTTTGTATTTTTTTTTCTGACCTTTTACCACCACTGCTCTCTCTAATTGGCGTGCGTACGTCTCGGCAGAATATACGTCGATCCGATGGGGTTCGACGATCTGCCGGAAGGCGTCGCAAGGCCGGGGTTCTTCCGGGGGGTGGCCACCGTCGTGACCAAGTTACTGAACGTGGTGCAGCCCGATTTCGCGTTCTTCGGACAGAAGGACGCGCTCCAATGCGTGCTGGTCAAAAGGCTTGTTGAGGTAGGCGTCCGTCCGCGAGTTGCCATTCGCAGGTTACGTTCCCTGCCCAGCAGTCAACAATCGCACTCGAAATGTCTCTATGTAGACCCGCGGGTATCGTGTGCAGTACTCCCTCTCCTTCCCCAGAAAACGTCGCCCGTCGGAAAGCATTTTTGGAAACAATGTGCCGCCTCCTCGTCCCGGGTCTGACGACCACCGCAAACGCGCGAGCTGTCTTCAACGCACCCACCTCCCCCGTCGCCATTTTGAAGTGTAGAGTGTGCGCTTCAAGGCCAAAGGGCATGCGATCAACAAGCGCGCCCCCTTCCCCTATTCCCTCTCTATGACAACACATTTTTTGTCAAGGACCTCAACCTGCCCGTGACAGTGGTGGTGAGCGAGACCACGAGGGAGGCGGACGGGCTGGCGATGTCGTCCCGAAACGCCTACATGTCCGCCGAGGAGAGGGCCGCGGCGCCGGCGGTGTACCTGTCGCTGCGGGCGGCGGCGGACGCTCGCCAGCGAGAAGCGGACGCGGGAAGGTGCGTTGTGGACGCGAGTATTGCAGAGGTACATGCGAATACTTACCGTTAATGAACACCCCCCACAAGTGTCACGCGGAAAAGGGCAAAGCACGAGCAGGGAAGCTGCACCCAAGACTCGCAAATCGGCACCTCGATACACGCATCAAATTGACGGTTTTGAAGAGCGTAATCGTACCGCCGCTAGAGTACGCCGGAGAAGTATGGGAAGGAAATAAGAAGATAGTGAATGAACTCGAGGCGGCGCAGATGAAAGCAGCGAAAATCATCCTAGGATGCTCCAAGCGCACAAGTAATGCAGCCGTCATGGCAGAAATGGGGATCCAATTCATACGGTCGGCAAGAGACGCGAGGAAGCTGACATGGCAGTATCGCATGTGCGGGATGGGAAGGGAGAGGTTGCCGAGAATTGTATGGGAGGCGAAGTGGGCAAGCAAAAAGAGGGGTAGACAACCCGCGGAATGGGTCAAGGTTGTAGAGGACGTATGGAAGGGGCTCGACATCGACGAAGATGAAACGCTGG